GTTATGGAGGCGTCTGGCCGAGTGGATTGCTATCAACTTGACCTTTCCAGGCTCTGAAGAAGGCGAAATCCGCCGAAACAGCTTAATCGTGAACAAAGAATAGTAACACCTCGCGTTTGCTCAACAAAAATACGAAGAAAATCACAATTTGTAACGTCGATTTTCTGGAGGAATACTTTCTAGTCTATGATTTGATGACATTTCCAGCTCCTATTGACTTATTTGCATGTTTGAACTCATGTGCAAGACGATGCTATTTTAATGCTGTGAAAGAGCATTGTTTCAATCAACCTAAAATTGTTGTAAAATGAGTGATAGGGAAAAGTACAGCATTGAGAATACAAGAATAGGAATAAGCACCAGAACGTCATGTACCAAAAATGCGTAGTACAGGATGTATTTGCGCAAATGGTGATGAAGAAACTGCAGTGATTTTTGCACCAGTCTTATATATCAAAATGACGTTGACTTCATCTGTTTGATAGGAGGATATTGGCCGTTGCGTTTCCCAAATGGACCCTGGAACGGTCTTCATTGATGCTTGTCTTCAACGTAGTATCGCATTAGACTCATGGTTTTACCGCGACGAAATCTCCATCTGCTCAGACCCAAATGTCAGAATACTGTGGCCGATTGTACTATGCTCTGATTGGGAGAAATTCCTCTTATCTAATATAACTTTCGCTCGTTTGTGGCTCATTCACTATTATTATAAAGAAATCAAAGGAAGCGAATATTAGGGAACAAGAAGAAGCACTACGCAATTCATAAAAGTCAGATTAAATGAGTTGAATATCGTGGCATGATAAATCATAGTGATTTGCGACGCAATACTTTTCTAACAATACTACTCCTCTGAAGATCATTGACCTGAAAATCCCTTCCGCTTTGAGAAGGATCCTCCATCTCCACGCGCCTTATTTTCCTCACTTTGCAGATGGTTTGCCATTACGCCAATCTTAGCTTATTACGTTCTGGTGTTGTGAAAAGTCTATTAAACTTTTTTGCTTGCGATATTTCAGTAGTCAGTGTTGTGAAGTTAGATGTGTTTTACATCACCAGGCATTGCATATTGTGTGGATCCCACTTCTTTCATTCTATTCGTTTACTCGGACTCATCGTTCACACAGGTCTTCAGTTTTGAATTTGGACTGTGGTGGTTGTTGAGAATTTTTTGCTCTTTTACAAATGCCCTTGAAAGCTGCTTGAGTGTGTTGTCAGGCCTTCAACATAGACGGACGGCAGTCTTTGTGGATCTGAGAAATCTCTACACAGATAGTTCTGAGAGCATTTTACCAACCCAAAGATATGAATATTTCGTCATCACTGCGCAAGGTCGAAGCGAGACCTTGGGCTTGCTTATCGGCATCTGCTTCTGCAATACTCGAGCGCAAGGAGTACTGGATAGTACGAGGACGAGCTATAGTGGAAAACAACTTGACATGGGACCTGGTTTAGTGCGAATAGGAGTAAATGGGCTGAATTCTTGGATTAATACCATAGCTAAATTCTATCTGAGTTAGAACAGTGTTCAATGTAACACCCCAATTGCGTGATGGTAAAGCTTCGCGCTTTTTTTTCCTTCATGGTTACCACGAATCTCCCTCACATGAGTGATCCCGATAGCCGGTTAGTCGCGAGGCTACGCGGCGCGTCCCTAGGGTGCGGATAGGGGGTTTATCTCACACCAAAAACGACCGTATGTTTCCCAGAGGCACAGTGGATCCGGAGATGGACTCCTTGTTTCTGCTGCCCTGATTTGGCAATACCTCCTGTATTTCTGAGGCGTATTCATGCACACGTGTGTGGGTGCGTCCTAGTTTATGCAGATTGCATTCTACGAGTCAATTCGGCCAAAAGCTTACAATCAAGTGATAAGGAAGTATATAGGAGGCGGTTAGGATTAGCCTCCAACAAATATGCTCCATGTCCACTCTCGGAGACGCTGGCAAGCTGCCCGTGAGTATTCCCAAGATCCGCGGTCAGAGTCCAGCAAGTTATACCTAGGTATCAAAGTGCTAAACGCAGTAGAACAAACGGGCTTCATTTCCTTGATCCCGAAAGAGCCCCCAATCCGACAGTGTCGGGTAGGAGGAGTAGGGAGACGCTGCTAAAATCTCAGGGCCAATGGAAACTGCCTGTATGGCAAAGAACAAAGGTGACGATCTGTACCTACAATGCACGTACAATTGCATCCGACTCGTTGATGGTAGACTTGCTCATGCAAGCAAGGAGGCTAAGGTACGACGTCATCGATCTGGCCTAGGCGAGACGACGCCACCCATTCAACGCTGTCAATGACCCCGGAGAAGAGCTGTTCCTCCGAACATGCGACACTAAAGGAGTCGCCGGCGTCGGTGTTCTTGTCAACACGAGTTTGTCCATGAATACCAATTCATTCCATAAACTTACAACCCGAATCGGTTGTTTGCGATTAAGAAGATGTGGATCAATACTGGCTTTGACAATCTTCTTCGTTTACGCGCCGACATCAAACTATGACGAAGAAGTGGAAGCGTTCTATATGGACTTGGAGAACTTCTACAGAAAAGACCATACATTCTTTACGGTCATCATTGAAGATTTCAACGCCAAGACTGGACCAAAAAGAACGTCGGAAGAACGTCACATTGGGACCCACGGATTGAAATGGAACGAATAGGGTGAGTTGCTTTCTGAGTTTATCATGGCGAGCAAGACCATCCATGGTAACTCGCAATTCTAGAAGCCCTACTCTCAATGCTCGTCTTGGGGTTTTCCAATAAAGAGTACAATAACGAAATAGACCACATCATAGTAAATAGGTTTGCCTAACCGATGTCGCTGTTTTCCCATAATTCTTCACGGGATCGGACCATCGCCTCCCCCGTGCAAGGTTCTATTTCTTGCAGAAAGGAGAACAAGCAGCTAAATTCAAAAACCGAAGTCCCAGAACCACCATAAACTGGGACTTATTCCATTCAGACCATACATCCACTATTGGGAAGATGCCGTTGTCGATATCAACGACGAAGAATACGACTGGCTCACTCAGCATCTGCACGTTGGCGCTATGAAAGCCGAGAGCTCGAAAGTCACCAACAGACTTTTCTCTCCAGATACACTCGAGCTAATAAGCCAGCGTGGAAACGCACGCGCTGCAGGCAACTGCTAGCTAACGTCGGAACTTCCAAAACAGTGCAGAGAGGGGATAAAAGAAGATCTTAAAGAGAGATGAGCAACAGTTATGGTCGAAGCTGCACAGGCTAGGAAAAGCATTCGCAAAGCCCACCAAAGCTTCACCATTTACAAGACCAAGATAATAGCACGCCGATTTCTTATAAAAAGACTTATTGAAGTATCGCGGGAGTACAAAAGACCGCTCTGTCTCACTTTCATCGATTTACAGAAGGCCTTTGATTCAGTTGAGATAGAACCAGTCTTGGAAGCCCTTGATAGTCAAGGAGTCCCTACTCAGTACATAAAAATTTTTCGTGAGCTGTACAAAAATTTCGCAGCCAAGGTATCACCATTCTACGACGATATTTACATCGACGTCAAAAGAGAGGTTTGGTAATGCGATACAATCTTCCCGAAATTATTTACCCCTACCCTTCAGAACGTCATGCGGACTTTACAGTGGGATAATATGGGTGTGGAAATCGATGGTCTGCAATTACACCATCTTCGCTCTGCTGATAAGATCGTTCTTACCACACCAAACATTAGCCAGGCGGAACGTTTGCTTGACGACTTTGATAAAGCTTGCGGAAAGATTGGTCTTTGACCAAATCTCACAACAACGATGTTCGTGAGGAACGGATTGGTTTCGTATGCCCATTCGCGTTCAACGAAACGAATATCTCCGAATTCTCCAGTTACGTTTATATAGGTCGGGAAATCAACATGTTGAACGGCTTAGCTCCAGAACTTATCAGAAAGAAACGAACTGCTTGGCGAGTTCCCAGAAGCATCGATGAAGTAGTGAGGAGGACAAAGAATACCCGATTCCTTCCCACCTTTTCGGGTCAACGGTGCTTCTTGTGTGAGTATACGTATAGTATATGTGAGTATACGTTGGGAACCTGGTCGCTGCGTCAAGAATATGAAAAATCGCTCGGCGTTATTGGACACGTAGTCGAAATGACGATGCTAGGAGTATCCCGTGTCTCGCAAGTAGAGGAAGATATCTGAAGCTTCGACTTCCTTGAACGATCAAAAATCGAAAATGCCGTTTTGTACCCCAAACAGTCGAAGATAAGGTGCGCAGGGCATGTAATGCATATGACAATCGATGGATAAGAGGCGTTAGTGACTGGATTCCTCAGGATGTTAAACGCACTACAGGGAACCCGATGGTCAGAGTTCTTCACGAAAAACCTAGAAGGAAGATATGATGCTCAACGAGCTCCTAGAGCTGGCAGAGCCCACTAGGCTACTCTTGCGCGCGGGAAGGAAAATTGGAAGATTTACTGGCACCCGCTGGAGTCACTCAAAGAGCAACGGGACTAAAAGTGATACATGTGACTCGTATCTGTACAGATTCAAATTTTAACGTAAAACTGCGAACGCCGTTGATTTTTTGCGGCGGATTTCAAGAGTTTTGAAGACAAATCTTAAAAGTAAGGCTGGGGATAACCTGATGCCATCGACGATAACCATCTAAATAAGCCATTTCGAGCAAAACTAGGCACGACGACTAGGTGGCTTACGGAAGAACTGCGTTTGGGCAGAAAAGCAGCGCATTGCATTGCCACCTCTATCTTAATTGCCAGTCCTGTCAATGTCTGACTCTCACTTCTTTAAGCATGTAGATAACTTGCATGACAAGAAGACAGTCTAAATATGGCGTCAAGAGTACTTTCGGCAAGATTGAGACATCTCGATCTCTGTGTAAATGAGGTGTCGAAGCTTGTACCAAGTTAAAAGTGTGGTGGTTGATCGGTAATTTGTAAATTGAACCGGCCGCATTTGCGACTACACTTCAACTTCCCATTCAAAATCAGATACTTCGTGAGAAACTACGTAGTATGTCATTTGATTTAAATTTACTGCAGGAGAAAGAAATTGAGACATTCACGACAAAATTTGATGGAGAAAATGGACCGGATGTTTTCGCGTTCTTCAAACGAACAATGAAGGGTAGTTCAATTGAAGTAATGCAGTTATTCTTCCATATTTCTACGACCAAAAGTTTTCCAGAATTTGAACGAAACGAACCGGAACTCTACCTTAAAATGGTTGGGAATTTGAGCCCTAGTGTGGCTAAGACTTTCCAAAACCTTATTAAGGTAAGCATGTACGTGTTACCATTTATTTCACTTTTCTAGTGAATACCAGTCATTTGTGTTCCAGGAGTGCGAACAGCATGCAAAATCTTAAGGATCGAGGAAGGTTGAACAACCCGGTGGATGCAGTTTTGCTGCTGCGGCAGTCGTACTGAAAGATGTTGCTTCCTCCTCATATTTGTGTTTCTGCTAAGACCATCGTTCCCTTTCTTTACTCGTTTTTGAAATTCAAATTTTCGACGATTACTGAGTTGTATGTTCATTGGCAGGGATGTAAATATATTATAAATGATTTTTAGAAAACTCTGAAAGTTCGCTATTCGCAACGACGCGCTGTAAAAGCAGACTGAAAGGTTGGCTCGTAGAAATGGACTGTATTTTAAGAATAGTGCGTGCTGCTACAGAAACAAGAAAGAAAGTTTAATTGGCACAATTTGTAACAAACACAATGAGCATATTGACCTACAAACATATTACAATTACGTTTTCCTGAGCTTAAATGGAGAACATGTATGTATCTAAAGTAAAAATCTGGTCGTCGCATTGAGGAAGGCAGAATTTATGAACTTATGACGTAGGTGTTACACCACTAATGGTGTGCAGTACCCGCATAGCAGAGTTTTGTTCGTCACCGACACCCTCTTGAGGTTGTACATCTCGGAACTGAAACTCGTGAATTTTAAGAGGACTCTAGAGGTTTTAACGTGGGACAAAACATTAGGAACACCAGTACTATGTTATACTGTATATATAGCCTGAAGATATGAACAGCTGCGTTAATTGCAACATCTTGTTGTAAATTTCATGTAGAGAAATAAGCACACCGAATTGCCAAAAAATCCAGACAGCCGTTCGTGCATGGCTTCGAAGGACGCTAGTAGGACTTCGTGGTATGTTTGCTGATCTGCAGCTATTACAGTTTCATTCACTTGCAACGCCTTGTCACATGCCGACATCAGCTTCCTGGAAATGTTCGTTTTACCTACACAGAAAAATGTCCAATGCAAGTAGCTCATGGAAAACACCTAGCTGGTTTGCAAACGAATAGTTTTATTATATCCCCCAAAAAGATTCCTACTAAATATTCATTCCAGAATTGAACCCATCAGAGCAGTAAGGTTATACAATTACGTAGAGGAGAATTCCACTAAAGTAGACGCGAGGAATGGGATGCCGATCCTCATATTAGTAAAGCTCTGCGATATGCACTATCGAGCATTTCGATGTTAGAAAAAAGTGTGCGACTATGCGAACTCGTCTTTATTAAGCTTACTGCTGCCCATAACGTATATTTTGAAATGGTAGCAATCCAACTAATACCTAAAAGCTAGTTCTAAGACGCGCATTCCGTCATCTCCATAACGTTTCTTCTGTTCCGGTTGTGTAAATGCTTCCGCATAAGATAACGGTCCTGCATTAACCTAAATTACACAGATCAAAATATAGCCAGGCATAATCGGAAGATCTATGGGCAGGGTAACTCTGTGACAATGCACGCACAACTATTACTTCAAAACCAAAATAAGAAATCTTTTCTACTTACCGTTGGCATAACAGCTCCTTGTAAAAGCAGCTGTAGCCCTTTCACGTCGAGAGGACGGATTTCATTAACATCATTCAAAACGGCATTTATCTGATTTGCTTTCAATTCCAGCTTTTGACAAGCAAATTCAAGAGGAGAAAACATACTGCTATTAGCAGATAATACACGCAGCCTTCTTCGACAGGAAGGAAACGATCCAGCCACTGCAATTTTAATGGTTACAACGTAAAGTAAGGCATTCACAAACAATACAGAATTTACATAGCTGAAAAACGGAATGAGCGAATTCGTGTACCCTCTAAGACCACCTTCTTCAGTAGATCAAACTTTAACTGTTCATGTTCAAATTTTGCATACTTCAGATTACAAAACTTTCTGACCAATATATACATTCTTTTAGGATCGACATAGACGGAATTCCCAGGGAAAACAACTGTTTTGATTTGCATTCGTGACTATGAACAATTGTTGATAATTAGATATGAGCAAAACTCGGAACTGCAGGTTGGCTTTGAATCCGCTGTTACCCTTTCCAGGGTACGTAATATCTTTCCATGAAAAAGGAAAGACAGTAAACAAAAGCCAAACGTTGCGATTTCGACTGCAGCTTCAGCATAACTGGGTTAAATGTCGATTTGTGTTCCCCAAATCATTCCAGCTGATGAATGATTGTTGATAGCACCGCTAGAAAAAGTGGCTGAGGCAAAAGCAAACAGTCTAGACTGGTGTAGCAGATAGCACACGAGGCTCCGGAAGCGATAGTTGCAGGATCAAAGCCCAGCTGAGGTTGCAAGTTTTGTTGATAGCTCAATATACTGGTGGTCGTATTTCACATTGTACCTTGCCCTGAAAAAATAATAGGCAGCAAACAGAAACTAAAAGCTGTTGATTAATGTTATCAACAATGGTTTAAGAATGAGTTTGTAAACCATTCAATGACAGGAGCGATATTAGACTTCCAAGTAATGCTACGAAGCCTTGAAGAGATATAGATATACCACCAGTAGTAAATAAAGCAAAACAGTCAGTCGAAAATGTGGTCTTGCTTGACCAACAGAAGCACGACAAGAGAAGAAATCCACCTTTCACAATGGTCCTCTTCAATGCTTGGTTTACCAAACTGTTTTGCCTCTCCGCGTTGACAACGGACTCATCATATACAGATCTTTCGTATGTGAATTCGCTGAAAAATACTATTGCACTGTTATAATGGAAGCAAAATAGTTTCAATGAAGAGCGATGTGCAAGAGTTTTATAAGAATTTGCAACGATTAGCACCAAAGATAAAAGCGAAATCGACAATTCACTATAATTTACAACTGATAATGAGAACAATTAGTCAGTCATAATTAGTCATTAAAAGCAATAATAATTATGATTATAATAACCAATAGCAATCGTTACCAAGATGGTTGTCAACAATACGAACAGCTACAATTGTTATTAATCATTTTTTAAATAGTAATATTATTATTAACTATTAATTACGGTCTTTCTTATTTTTTTTATTACTGCTGCAAGGAGCGCGTGGCGCATTGGTAATGGTCCTGTTCTTTACGGTCCAACTGACCCACGGCTTGGTCCGCCTCCGAGCCGTGCTCAGTAAGCCTCTTACTCTTCCAGTGCTGTGAATTTGGAACCAGACTTGTCTGAGACAGACTCGCTTTAATCCAAATGGGAACGTCCTAGCACGGTTAACTCAAGAGTTCAGGGAGAGTCAACTTGACCAGCAGGGAATGACAGTCGTGAAGAAGACCAAAAATACTCAAGCATTAGACGAACCCACACGCAAAACGTTCGAAGAGCTTTGCGAATGATGGACGCGAGAAAATGAATCGAATGCAAGGAGTGCTGGCATCCACAGTGTGTGCTTAGTGATGTTGAGTCATGCATGCGTAAGATAATGACAAATGTCTCAGGTGCAGCAATGACGACCTAAATTTTCTTCGTGATATAACGTTTCCTTATCGAACCATATGTTACGGATTTCTGCTCTGCACTTGAATTTATGAATTTCTCAACAAGGTTATATCTGTTCGTATAATCAATTCACAGGCATTATGCTGACCAGATACTTGGATACTTCAACGGCATGTTTTCATAAGTGCAGAGCCCGGCACATTTTTCATCCGTTACGTTGTCTTGCCATTGTCATTCGTGGTGGTTGCCTATTTCATGCATGGTGACGAATGCGAGGCACATTCCGAAATGCTAAAACCGTTCCTATCTGCGAATGCAGACCGTTGATGCTAGCTATGAACACATCTGAAAATCGTTTGGGTGGTCGTCCAAGAAGACACTTGCATACTCTTATAGTCCGCTCCACCACTGTTTTCGTTCATTCATCGTCTGTTCTTCTTATTATTTGATCAGAATATCTGTGTTTCGCTAATGATGTATATTCTCCTGGAACCTGAGGATGGGATATGTTCAGAAGATCAGAGCTACGCAATCCGGCTAGACGTTGTAAGTGTTGGTTGAATTTCAAAAGACATTTTTCAAGTGCTTCATGGATGGAATGCATAATACTTAGCACATTTGAAGTACCACCTTTCTGATGCATAACGGACCGCTAGGATGACTGTTATACCGAAAGGATTTTTCTCATTTCTCATCTCCTTCGATCAGGATTCACAATGGAGCGCTATAGTCGTTGAGGTCCCGACTGCATTTCTTCTGACTGATTTTTTTTTCTCGGTGCTGCTTCTAATAGCTTCGTCTGGCTGAATCGATATAGATTCTCCTGCAAAAATCTTCGGCCGTTTGCATTGATCAGTAGTCGTCTTAAGTGTGTTACAGTATTATCAAACTACAGTTTTCTTCCCTCTAGATCAACTTCTTAGCGGTAATGGAGATATTATTTCATTTTCTTACTTGTGGAATCAACGTAAATTCGGCACAAGTTTCAATTCCTCCTACAAGAAGCTCATAGTCTTCGGTCGGGTCATCCCTCATCCGTCGGTTATGCATATGATTTCGTTCAGAATGACCTCATCATATACAGCTTGAGTTTTCGTTTTTGGTCGATGGTAAGAAATCCTAATGACTAACGACTGAATCGAATCCACGTACAAACAAGGCGGCGATCGGAATCAGCACAGAATCATGAGACTGCGCATCTCGCCTCCCCAATAGTTTATGACAAATGGTACATAACAATAGTGAATAATACTAATAACACTGCAGAATATGTCCAAGTAGAGATTTAGCAATTTTAGTACCTAGGGATTGATTTGAATGAATACGGACTAAAAAAAAATTCACGTTTCGTTTTCCAACAAGCGTGACTCTACTAATAGTGAAGCCAACTAGTTGACACAAAAGCGACATATAATTGGGGTCGACATAGAATTGCAAACAATATGACAACATCGTGTTTCTGGTTTTCTGGAGCCCAAGAAACGAAGAAGTGTTACGGTTTTCATGATTAAGGCTTGCATTTCGAAAAGTCAAGCGATTGAAGCAGGAGGATTTGGTTCAACAAGACAAGACAGGTGTCCACAGACAGGTGGTGTGAGTCGTCAGTGGGATGTTGCTAACGATCTCAGGTGCTAGTTGAAGTATAGCAAAACTGTTCCGATGTACGCCTCAAGTCGTCAACCAAGGAATCCGCTTCGCATTTACATTTCCGCTAAGGAAATGCTTGAGAAGAAGAAAACCAAAACTTGTTTTCACTACAATGTATTAAAATGTATTAAATTATTACTTTACTCTCTATTTTATGTTCCTAGATTACAGATACCTCCTTGACGCAAATGTAGCAGTTAAACCGGTGCAGCTGCGGAGTGCGAATTATGCGAGTTTTCCAAATGGAAGAAATAATGCGCAAGCAAAAGCGTTTCTATGAATTCTTTGTCGGGAAATTCAGGACGAGAACGACTACACGATCGGAAAACTTCGAACAGGAGAACCAAATTTGTTTGGAAACCGTTGTGCTGGACGCCTGTCTGCAATAAATGGACCACGTCCCCCTGATTCTGAAAAGAGCTCCCGATATGGCAGCATTGGGTACGAAAACTAAGGAGCAGTTGCTAACATCCTAGAGCCACTCTCGACTCCCTAAACCTCGAAGAACCAAGGTGACGAGTTGTACCCAAAATGCACGCTCACTTGCATCTGAGTCATCTATTGAAGATCTGATGACGTAGGCTAGAACGATAAGAAATGATGCCACCGGACAGACTAAGATGAGAGTGCACTGCCAATTTAACGCAGTTTATGATATCGGAGAAGAACTTCCTCTCCGAAAATGTGCAAATAAGTGGATAAGAAAAGTTAATCTCTTTATCAACAGTTCACGAACCTGGACTCATTCAAGTAACTAACGACTTGAATCGGACGTTTTCGTTTTTACTTTTTTTTTATTACACGACCCTCCATCACTTCTAATGTACGGAAACCAGCACTTCTCGCACTCCAATCATTTTCCTCACATTCATCGTCCACAAAAGACAGAACATTTCGTGCGAAGGAACGCTTAAGGACTTCGTCTTCTTTATGAATGTCATAGAACGCTGATCAAGTCAATTCTCCCTGCAAGTTTGGAAGTAGTCGAGCTAAGCCATTCCCATTCCCAGGTGTAAATACCTACGGGAAGCCCATTACTACCGATCTCAACGGTATGACTGAACCCATGAGGACGTTTGAAGTGTTTCACAATGGAACAAGGTAAGCACTTGTCTGAGTTTACCACGGTGATCAAAAGTGTCCACGGTAACTAACAATTTCTGCGGAGCCATTCTCACCATTTGTCACAGAAGCCTTCCAATGGAAATATTATAATAAGATAGCCCACATTATATTAAGTCGAGAGTTTTGAATAAGTTTATTGTCTTGCCAAAACCTCGTTCACGATCCCCTTTATCGCAGAAAGGGGAGAAAATCGCAAAGTTCAAAAAGGAAAACCTCAACCTCAAAACCATCCTGAACTGGGATTTATTAGATGATTAGTAGACTCTTAGAAGCACACAACTATCGATGACAGTGATGAAAGAATGCGACTTGCTCATTCAACATCTTCACGTTATCATAGTGAAAGAAGAGTTCGAAATCCACCAAAAGGAGCCTGAATCCAGGGAAACTCGAGTTAAAAACAAAGTGTAGAAGTGCAACAGCAGTAGATGACCACTAACACACTTCCGAACGTGCAATGCTTTGTTGAAAGGCGATAAAAGATCTTAAAGAAAGAACAGCAGCATGGGCCATGCAATGACAGAAACTAAAGAGGCTGCGAACAGCAAGAGACTTCCGAAACATCGCCAACTGCTAAATCATGGCGATCGTGCTCCGACGTCCAAACGGAGTAGTTTCGGCTTTCAGGAAGACAAGCGAAAAATCATTCACGATTATTTGTTCAGTAGCCACGGTTTCCTTCACTCAAACGAAGTAAAGAAGGATGGATATTTCATCACAACAGTTCCCCTTTAGAAACCCAACACACTATTTCGTTGGTGAAAAACCGAACAGCACCAAGACCGGGCAGGATAAGATCTGAACATCTGAAGAACCTTCAAGCAATCATAATGACACTGGCTCGACTTCCTACACATTACCTGTCAGAATAAAAGGTCTCTACTTAATGGAAGACCAGCAAGACCGTGCTATTGTTCAAAATGGGTGTCATTCACAACACTGGCAACTATCGCCCAATCTGCTTGCTGTATGTACGTCGTTTATAAACTCTTCAGCAACTCATCCTAAACAGGAGTGACAGAAAAGTGGACGAAATACAGCCATGTGAGCAAACAGTGTTTCCAAAAAGAGTCGGTACAGCAGACCATATCAAGACCATGCGAAGTATCACGAGAGTACAAGAGACCGTTCTGTCTCACTTTCACTCTAAAGATTCATCGCTTTACAACGACGTTAACATCGACATCTCACTGAAGTTATTTACAGCTAGCCTCGACATCATGCGAAAATTAGAATGGGAAAAAGGTTTGAAATTCAGTAGTTGGAAATAAAGCACCATTTTCACCTTGCTGATAATATCGTTCCTATAACACTAACAAGAGTGTGAGTGTGGCGCACTGGTCGAAAGCGCCCTGCAACACACACGTGGCATCGATCCCTGTGCCCGTGGCCCACCAAGCCTTCCAACCCTCAGGGATCGGTAAATTGGTACCAGACTTGCCTGTGAAGACGGCAGCACTGGCTTGACGAGTCATTGTAAAGGTCAGATATGTATTCATTCACCTACCAAACGATGCTTAATGGAGTCGAATACATGACGTATCCCTCAGGGATTGATCGACGCCAAAAGCCTTTATTTTTTTTCTCTGGTGGAACGAATATCCGACTTGCACAACGCTGGTGGAATGGTTAGTCTTCACCTAAATCTGTAGAAAACGATGTTCATGAGGAATTTAAATGTTTCTGATTTCCTATTCACGTTGAAGGAATAAAAACCTGAGTGCTCCAGCTATGTGCACCTAGGTCGGGAAGGCAACATAATGATCAACTCCATTCCACAGTTGAGCATGAGGAATCGAACTGCTTCGGTTGTTTTCAAGAGCACCGAAAATGTAATGAGGAGAACAAAGAACATCCGAATTCATTTACAGCTTTACGACTCTAAGATTCTACCTGTCTTAATCCAGCCGTCGGAAATTTGGTCACTACGTTTACAAGTTAGAAGATCACCGAACTTTCGACCCGCGATAAAAAGTCGGAGCCGTTGTTCTGCATGTCCAAATGTCGAAAGTCAGCTGGGCCGAACAAATAATCCGTCTGAACGACAACCAGTGGAGAAGAATCGTCAGCGACTGGATTTCTCAGGATGTTAAACATACAGCAGAGACCACCACCGCACCAATGGTCAGAGTTCTTTACGAAGACCCTAGAAGAAGGTTAAATTTCTTCAACGAGTCCATAGAACGAAAAGAAACCAGTAGTCTACTTTTTTCATGCAATAGGCACAAATGGAAAAATTACAAGTGCTTGTTCGAGTCACTCGATGATGGGACGACAGGTGACTGGTAGGAAAAGACTATGGAAGCAGAGATAAAAAACAAGCGCGAAGAAGTGCCGATAGGAACTACACGAATATAATGTTCTTCTTCCAGCCTTGTTGAATAGTAGATGAATATGGGGCAGCTACTAGCTCCAGATATGAAATTGTTAACGGAGATATTCCACAACACTTTTTCGTTCCACAATCAGATTTTCGGACTCTAAAATATCCTGTAGGGAAAACACCCAGGTTTCCTCACTCCGAAATTTGGTTTGCAATCACGGTTAGAATGCATGTAGAAAAGTAGATCCTATAAACCACAAACAACATGTACTTCCCGCAACCCATGTGATATCTCACCATCAAAAAGATCACAAATCAGTGGAGACGTTGAGCATGTTAACCTTGGACAAAAACCTGACAGAAAAGATATTCGCAGCTATGGTTAAATATGCTCATTTAGTGTACTCTATAGGATGTTCACGAAGATTATCCTCATGCTCATATAACGGACATTAAGTGAAGCACAACCAGTGGCGCAACCATGATTCCGACTACAATTCTGTTGTAAGGACTACATCCAAATCGTGTACAGGGTGAATTTGTCGGGAATACAACCTAAGTCTTATCCGAATCATTGTCGATTATAAAAAGCACTTGGTAGCGAAGAAAGCAATTCAACCATATTAGCCATCGTCGATCGCAGAGTGGACCCATCCCATATAAAAGCTCTAGATGTCTGGTTTTCCGATCACAGCGATTTCGTAAGTGGGGCCTACGCACTCATTGAACATGGAAAATAACACGAAAAAAGAATTACAGAATTAAGAGAACAGCAGTATAGGACACATGGGCTCGGGTTTGGCAAAGAAGCTACTGACTAACCAACGGACTCGAAATTCGGCGTTCACGTTCTCGACTGAACATTGCTCCTTACTCTCTATTTTGAAGCTGAGACGTGAGCCGATAGTTCAACCACATTGGCAACTCTGCGGAACACCTATAAAACACATGAACGATACCTTCTGAAATGGAGCCAACATAAATAACCTCTATCTTAAATGTGCATTTCAATTCTTCATAACCTAGTCCATCTTCAGAATCAAAAGATCGGACATCGACATCGAAGCATAAATGGGTCGATCATATAATAAGAACAGACAGCTGGACGATAAGAATTGAATCCTCTAAGAGTAAGAGTCCACTAAGAGAATGCAAGCATATTCCGGGAAGGCCACCTACCATATGGTTGGACTTGCTTGTAGATGTCCTCAACCAGTTTCATTCTCATTTTAAAAACGAAGCACTGGTCACAAACTTGATCTAGCGAATGTTGCCACACTTAAAAAATCACGAAAGACGATCTCGACGCTATGGAAAAAGTGGGAAATGTGTTAAAGCTCGGATTACCTTTGACGACGAGTCGACAAAATATCTAAGTAAGTAAACAACTTTAGAACATACATGTAAAAAAGTCTTGTTAATAAAAAACAACATTGGCAAGATTTTATTTTTAGTCCGACTTTCTTTGCTGGGATGCATTAGAATTTGCATTTGCATTATTGTGTCATTGTACATAAATGAAATACTCTTACCTAATATTTGTATGCGTCAGAAAATGCTTAAATGCGCATCCTTCGGGAAGAACTGGCTCAACGTGTGTAACAAAAATGTAGACAATCGATGGATCAAAGGAAGTAATCTCCTGGAAAAGACGAATCAATGACAAAAATAAAAAGAAAAGTGATAAAAAAGGAACCTTCCTAGGACAAAATAAGCAACTATAAACAGAAGACTAATAGATGGTGCAGCACTAAAAGTTTAGAAGTTTACTAATTATCGTGGTGAAGAACTAGCATTGCAAATACGTTATCATCAGCATATGTGGACCTTTTAATCATTTTCTTCTCTAGGAAAAGTTCGGATAAACTCCATAATTTCTTCATGGTTAAGAAAGAACAAACCTAATGACAAACAATCCACTGTTACACTTTCCACAATCCACTTTCCTGTTTATATGTTTCCCTTTCTTAAAAAAAAAACCTCTGGCTTCCTCAAGAACAGTGATGAAACGAAACCGCAGATTATTAAAAGATGATTATACCGTTACGGCAAAAACTTCTAGGAAAACCTAGCTTATTTTTTTTAATAATCTGAATTTGGAAAAATATCAGATGGAATAAAGCATTCGGCATTGATCTATCTCTTAGGGATACACAATGCATCCGATTCGAGCAAGCATCGTAAAAGCAATTAATTGTCTCTTATTTATCACGAGTGATATAGGGCAGTATATAAAACTGCTTTTCTGATATGAGGGGCACATTATACTTCCATGTGATTTCTGTGCGGTTGGTCTCTACGTGACATACTTAGTGGAGACCTCATAGAAAGCGGTGAGTGTGCAAAGCTGTGTTCAAAGTGATTGAAATCTTGGTTTGGAGTTTTTTTGTTTGGTTATGGAGGCGTCTGGCCGAGTAGATTGCTATCAACTTGACCTTTCCAGGCTCTGAGGAAGGCGAAATCCGCCGAAACGTCAGCTTAATCGTGAACAAAGGATAATAACACCTCGCGTTTGCTCAACAAAAATACGAAGAAAATTACTTGATCAATGCCGAGGTTAATAGAAAGTCGGTCGTGGCAGTTACTGCAATTAATTGTATCTTTGACCTATATAGCCACATGCGCCGACCTATCGATACATTATAACAGTTTTTTTTTCACCTTGAAGGTAAGTCTGGTACCAACAACTCGCCTATGGAGGGATCGGAAGCTTGATAAGCTTACGCTCGGAGTACGGAGATGAACTAACGGCTACGTACATCACAGGACACGTCTAAGCACTGAGTTACACGCACGCATAAAACTGTCACATCTGCGCGCAAAACATTTGCCAGCTGATGTTGCCAAACATTGCCAAACATTTTGTTTAGACAGCAGTTCTGATTTTTAATCTTTCAGTACAGTCAAATGTATCACAAGCAAAGCCGCTACCGCTCATCAATACAATACACTCATTAACAAAACATACGGTACGAGTGTTGTAATGTCCTAAAAACGACCTAGTAAATCAGCGTTTAGCTCACGGAAGAACGAACCTCACTTTCCGGCTCCACTTGAATGCGATCATGTCCCAGCAATTGTCTATAATACTCTCGAAATTGTATGGACACCTCTGCCAGAGATGCCAGACCACCTTCTCGATAAACCCAATCAGTGTCATGATCCTGCCTATAAATTCGCTGTCAACACTTTTATGTTTCGTGAACTCAAGTACGGATGTTTTCTCTCTTATAACATTCATGCTACGAGAAAAGACTAGCTTTTATTCATTGCTGAAATTTTTAGTGATGCAAATGGAAATTCAAGCTTGTTTGCAATGCGTTACTCTCAATCACAATGTAATTCCTGTGCACGATAATAATTGTTCTTGTGGACCATAAAGAAATTCTCACTCACTTCAGATGGTTTTCACCAATAAATTTGACCCGAAAATAAGTACCGAGATGTCGTTTACCACTTGTTTTGACTTCAGCGGCACGGCTATATGCTTGCTGTAGTTCTGCATAGATTCCCACCAGTGACTGAACGTGTTTGAAGGAGATGGGTTAGTAATTACAGTTAATCATTAAACATTTTCTCTACATTTGACAATGAACATTTTCAAAAAAATTATGTACCATAACTTCTAAGTTTTCTATTCACATTCGAAGAAACGACACAACCAACCTTGAAATTGCTCGTCTTTTCAAACAAAGGTATGATTAAGCGATACAATGGGCCAATCGCTTCATATCTCTCTGCAAGAGTTAAAGCCTGTGCGGTTTGTTCAATTTTGGTGGCTAAATTTTCCTGAAAGTTTTTTAACCGAATCAGTACAAACTAACAAATATTTTAAAAAAAGAAATATTTTGCCGATTACTGATGGTAAAGGATCGATAGAACTAGCTGAGAGACCGGCGAAACGAAGGACCCGCATGGTGTGGTGGTGAACGCATTACTCCCCGAAAAGGACAATAGCGCGTTCGTTCCCCACCGCAGACACCTGCGATCCGGAGTTTTGCAAATATCCCAGCACCGTTGAAGTTATATTTCGCAATATAGCTTGTCACCAAAAAAATTAAGCAGTAAAATGTTCAGAATATCGTTTTAATTAAAACAAACCAGAGAGAAACCGGCCGGCTGAATGTTTCCATCCGGTTGTAGAGTACCTTCATCAGCAACTACTGATGAACTGATCCATTCGAACGCCGACCAGTCAACTTCGCTAACTCCTAAAAATGTAAGAAAAATTAATAAGAAATTAAACATTTGAAGGATCAGTTCTTTTATATGGTATCCACCCGTATATTGAAGGAGTTCAGAAAGCATTTAAAAAAAGCATTAATGAGTCGTTCTGCAAGATGGAAATGGCCTCAGTGATTTTATTCCTGAGCGTCTTATTTGATTACACTTCGTAAAGTTACGATATTCATTAGGAAAAAGAAATATCACAGAACAGCGACTCAATGGTTACTATGAAGAAAAATACGTGTAATAAATGGCAAAATAATTTGACAATATTATTTAACATTTGAGTTGAAATGACAGACGCCAGAGAACTTACCTTTTCCGGCCAGTTCTTTTGCAACGATAGCAAGAGCGTGTGCATAACATACTGCAGCTTCAGCGTGCCAATTGCCTAAAAGCTAAAAAAGAATTCAGTGCTTCCAAAGCGATACATTGAGGATTCTATAGAGAGATTTATATTCATATGTGGCTAAAATAGCCGCTGCGTTCTAATTAGAAACAAACCATCTAGCCCATAGAGAAGTGTACCGAGCTGAAATAAATCCCAATGGGATAGACAGATCTCTGCCAACACGAAACAGATTTACATCAAAAACTTTCCAATATTGAGCCAAATTTTTTTAAAATTTTAAATTTTAAACCCTCCAAGACGTGCTGGTTTTAGAAACACTATGAGAGCGCCTACAATAATTTTCTCATTAATAAGCTTGTGAAGTCCCATAGTTCTCAGCGACACTGGCTAATAAAAAATGACCGACAATTAAAAGAGATAGGTCTGCCGTTAATAGGTCAACCATCCGCTGTGAACTGATAAGCTGGATGAGACAACCTATTCTGCTCAGCATAATCCCGCGTGGTGCAAAAATATACCAAAATAGACCACTTGGTAATAAATGTTGGACTTATCATTAAGTTAAGCAAGTACTGTTTTCTATTGTTGGGAGTATTATATTAAAAGTACACATTAATAGTTGGATTTTCACAGCAATCCTAAGTACAAACACGTACAAACATGGCACTCTCGAAGAGATCTACAATAATTTATGGCTTTGTCCTTCATAAAAATCGTCAACCTCTCATCGCAGTTTCATCACCTGCCTCTTAGCTTGAATGTGTCAAAAACTACCTATTTTAATTAATATTTCTAGTTCAATTCAGTACATCTTCATTTTTCTTTTCGGCATTTTCGGGAAATCGCCAAGGTTTTTGTTAAAAAGAATTTTTCAATAAAATAAAGATAAAGAAGTTGAAAGCTTTTGCTTCGAACTGCATAGTGTAATGTGAGCACATATTTCTGAGAGAATTATCAAACTATAAAGCAATTTCACAGAACATCTAAACTGAATCAACTATATATAAGAAAAACAACGTAAAATAATCTTGCTCGCATGATATTCACCAGCAGAATGAAGCTCAGCTAAAGCTTCGAACCATGCACTTCTTAAGGCAGCAGATCCTCGATAGCTTTCAGCCAACTGTATGTGCAAGTCAGCAAGTCGGATCTGAGTAAGTATAGAGCTTTTGGTTTAATTCTGTTCTCTGAAGCTAAACGTCACAAAAGATAGACCTTACAGGGTCATTTCCGGCATCTTTTAAAGACACAGTAGCAGACATCACACCACGCAACTGATGAACGAGTTCCTAAAAAAAGATAAGACTTTTGTTAGCGCAGATCCGTGTACAAATTATACAAGTACAAAAATTAACAGCAAAGCTATACAAAAAGTTTTCCGTCTTAATGGTTAAAGTGAATGTTAGTTATCAACAACGAATTAAAATAATGACTACAAGAATTTGCTTCTTTTTTGTTAAAGTTCCAACCATCACTGCTTGGTCAAAGCTAGTAGTCTTCACGACATTATAGCGACTTGAGATGTTGTAGAGAATAGTGAGGCCTTTTTCTAACCTGGTGCTAGAAAGTGCTGACTTCCTACCTGAACAACTAGGAGCAGAATTCACGGATTACCATATAACACTGCCAAAATGGAAAGAAACACACCCAGCAATCTGGCTAAAGCGACAGTGGTTTGACAGCCTGAGCGACCAAGCCTGTCCACACAGGTTTTCTCCATTGAATGAGCTTTACATTTCAGCACACTTTGTGACATAGCTCTGCCAGCTGATAAACGAAAGCGGAAAAAAATGAATACCACTTTCATTGAAAAGAAATTAAAATTTACAGAACGAGAACGAAGGAAATGTTCTGTATACCTAGGTAAGCTTCTAGAGCCTCGAATCCATAACGGAGAATGTGATATAATAACGCAGCAGCAGAGTTCTGGACAGTAGATATCTGACTAGCCATAGAAACGAGAACCCGTTCTATGAGGTGTGATAAATCGTCTAGCGGTCCACTTTCAAAAAGACGTTCATGAAACTGGAAAAGGAGGAGATATACAGAAATTCAGACCTGAGGAGAAGTCTTGCTATATAGCAGTACTGCATTCGAAAAAAAATTATCGTTGGAACATATACGAGAAAAATGCTAAAAATCATACATCGATTTCGCTGACCTTTAGTGATACACGAGAAAATGCAATGATCTGCAAACCATGAATGATGCAGAACTTTTGGATCGCAACTTTTCCTTTGCAAACTTTAAACTTGTGGAGTGGAAATAAAAAAGGTAACCACAACAATACTGAGATATGAACAAAACTTGGGAACAGAGGTGCAGTTCGAACCCAGGATTATGTTTCCCGAGGGTTCAACGTGTTACCCACTGCACCAGCCGTGGTCCTTCCTTTGCATTTATCTCAACCTCTTCTTTACTCTAACGGTGCTATTGGCAATCATGCGTAAATGGGAATGATCTGATGAGCACAATTCGGGAATGAACCCAGCTAAGCTGAAGCTGCACTCGGAATCACGATGTTCAGTTTTTTATCCGCTGCCTACTACAATTTTCACGGCAGGGTATTGTATGAAATCAAGCACAACGATGCTGAGATCTTCGCAAAAGTTCGATTTCGGGCTATATCGAACCACGATTACACTTTCCAGAGACTTGCGTATTATGCACTGCACCACTGAAACCCTTGCTTTGAGCTTCTTTCAGCTAGTTTTCTACCTAACGATGTCATCAACAATCATCCGTCAACGGGAACAATCTCGTGTGTACAAATTAGCATTCAACCTAATTAAGCTGTGGCTGCGGTTTCCCATTAACAGTTGATTCCTGATATGATCGTTATAGTAAAAAAGTGGCTAAGAGTAATAAAAAGCACGGGTTTTGGCTGGTGCAGTGGATAAAACGTGAGCCTCTGGAAACACCAATCACAGGTTCGGAGCGCAACTGAGGTTGAGTTTTGCTCACATCTTAGCATCGTTGTGGTTATAATTCATATAATACCATACCACGAAAAAAAAAAAACAGAAAATAAAATTTAAACCGGGGGTATTTGATATCTTCAACTTTTCAAACGCTTTTCTCAAAGTCTTTTCTGAATTAAACAAGATGTGCAACCAACTACATTTATCAACAATTTAATTTTTCGGAACAATTCAAGATGTTATTAATCTCGTTAGAGTATTGACCAAAAAAACCAGAATTACAAATGATCTTCTTGAAAACATTCCTGTACAACGTTATGCCTAATGTTCAACCTCTCACGCGTTGAGTCATACGTAACTCATGCTTACCAAAGTGATCCCTTGAAAATGATGACGCTCCCTTCGCCGCATTTTTGCTTTGTAATTCTGTTTATTTACATATTTTCCTAGAAATTTTAGTTATTTTTCTTTTTCATGCACTTCTCAACTTGGTTCTTGCACAAACCCATGGTTCTGAACCCTTCTAAATTTTGGTTGAGATGGAAAAAAAACCTAGTGTGGCTTATAACAATAGTGTTGTAAGCATTTAGTACTCAGTATAACAAAATACGTGAGGGATATGCCGACAATTTTCTAAGCACCCATTCAATACAATAACCATCATCCATAATAAAAAAAAAGACAGATCTCACGGAGTTGGACAATTACTGAGGGATGCGCAATGTATTCGACTTACCAAGCAAGCATTGTTAAAGGTCATTGAGTGTACATCCGGCTCATACGCTGACTCGCGGTAGCCTACCGATCCACCGAGTCAGTTCTGATATTCTCCCACATAGATGTGGTACCAATTTATCTACTGCAGAGGGTTGGAAGCCTTGGTGAGCCTGGGGTGCGCGACCGAATCCAGATGTATTGCAGGGAACGTTAACCACTACGCTACATGCGTCCATCACAGTGATGGAAAGTTAGCATGGAATAATAATTACTTGTTGCTAAAAATCGTTCTTATTTGACTGAAACATTACGGTTGATACTGGTTTTTCGATAACACTTGATAGCTAACACATGGGCATTCAGATCATGATCATAGAAAAGACTTGGCTCTATAGCTTCGATGTTATGTATATATTTCCTAATTGTCAATGTAGCATACAATTTTTTTGCGTTCAAATTCTTGCAAAGTTGAAAAAATTCAAAATCCCAATCTTGAGGACAGGCGCAGTAGTAGCAACACACTATGGAACATCCTTGTTGCACGACATATTGCTTGCTCACTAGCTTTGCAGATCGTAGTATGACTTTCCCCGGAGAAAAAACTGTTTTGAAAGAGAATCAGAATTTCGCCTTCGAGAGAGATTCGAGTCAAGAGATTGACGTACTGTTCACAAAGATCTATGAACTGCACTAATCTTCATCCCAACAAATAAAGTTGCAATTAAATTATGCCGATGAGACACCAAGAAAATTTCTATTCATTTCTCATAGAGTGATCACAAAGGCATGAATGATTCTAATTGAAAAAAAAGTGATTCGGATAATGATGATAGTGATCATAATGTATTCAGCACGAGATGGATAAATAATGCATTTAATCATACTCATTAGGTCTTCAATGCCAGTCAGTATGGCGTAGAGGTGCAGCCACTGGGTGGATGCTCACAACCGATACATCTTCACGAATTATTAGTGGCCAACGGTTTCGCTCCTGATGGCGAAATAAAAGAACAGACAGAGAAAGAAGAAGAACGAATCATTGGCATCACGACCGTTGAGCAGAAATGTATCTGTTTTAAGAAGGGGGGCGTAAGGCTGCCAAAGCTGAGGGTATACTTGGGTTATACGTTGCTTATATGCGTCATTCTATAGGCTCCCAAGTCACCCTAGTAGGCAGGTTTGAAAGGGTGTGGAGTCACTTCTATTTTGTGAATAATGCAAGATGTAATGAACGTGACACAAAATACGCCCGCTTGTCGAGATTGTCTACAGAAATTGCATAATTTATAGACCTGGCGAAAACGCCTGTATTAATGGATTTATTGTGCCTTTTAGAGGCAAAGTAAGTTCCCACCAACAGATCTCATACATCAAACAGAAGGATGGCATTAAACTTTTCCAGTCATACACGAAAAGTGGATACACATGTACAGCTATGGTATATATCGGTAAAGAGACTTCACTATAGCTGAATCAGTGGTCATCGGACTTACGGACGAACTGCTGGATGAGGGAAGCAACAATTACAGCGATGGTCTCTATATTGCTCCCTTGATGGCTGAAAACTCGGCCAAAACGAAAATTCTTTTCGCTGTACTACGCAAGAGGAACCTAGATGGTCTGCTAAAGCAAGTCATCCAGGAGAAGCTGAAGATTGGAGCACTAACTAACAAAATCGTGTCTTGATGGCTCTAAAACAAGGAGACCAAAGCGACATTGCTGCGTTCCCTAAATGTAAGAAACTATCTAGATGTTATAACGTCATATGTGCTGGAATACATGCCAAACAAAGGAAAACCAGAAGCAACCAATGTAACAAATACTTTTCTTTAAACTATTTCAACAGTTATCATAGACTGTGTTTACGGCAGAAGTTACCGTTAAATTGTTACAAGACCCTTCAACACATCTACTATGTGGATCCCATCACTTGCATTCGATTCCTTTACCTTGCATTCAACGTCTGCATAATTCTTCGAATATTTCGCGTGTTGTTTCGGCTGCTGCTTGAGAATTTCGTCTTCCTTATGAACGTCGTAGAATGCTGGTCAAGTCGATTCTTCTTGTATCCTTAAAGATTGCCAAGAATCGGCGTTCCCACGTGAGTTGGAGGAGAACGTTGGGAAGGGGTCGAATCAGTACCTCGTTTCCTGATGGACTAACCGCTCCACTATTACTCCTCCCTACCCCCCTATGGTAGAATTCAGACTGCAAAGTAGCACATGGAGGTTATAAGCTCCAAGGGTTGCAGAATTGTAGTGGTTACAAATGCAAATATAAACTGTGTGTCTTAAATGTACGTTGGAAAGGTTGCATCCTGTTATTATCAGTGCTCAGTGTATTAACTGAAAAAAATAGGTATTCTAATGCAGATGTTTTACATTGCTACGTTTACAACATCAATGAGAATTATGCGAATGAGAGTTTAGACTACGTAATGCATGCAAAGATACAGTCTATGAAAACACATTGATGAATACGCAGATTCCACATGCTGCACTCACGTCTATACCAGTTTCCTCGTCATTTACAATCCCATTGTTGGGAAGAATAACCTCTACTTTTCGAACATCCGCATGGAAATACAGCCGCTATGCTAGTACCTGTCGAGAAATTGAAATCGGACAGATGAACTGTTATGAAAAAGAGGTTCTCCGTATGTTTTTCTAGATTATTAGGTACAGCTTCGCACGGCTATCCCAGTTCTCTAGGCAGAATCAAGTTGACAAGCATTTAAATCCGAATCAACACAGAGCCTACAAATCAAAGAGCGAAAACTGATGGCCCAAGAGAAGAAGGCGAAAAAATTGGGTAAAACTCAAAGATTCCAAAAATACTTAACACTGGCAAAGTCAATAACAGCTGACAGTGAAGTACGCTTTTCTAAAGAGAGGAAATAAAGTGATCCACAAAAAGTATCACTGAAAAGTAAGCTCACCAATCGGCTTAACACCTATGGCGGAAAGCCCGTTTTCGCAAACTGTTGATAGTGTTTCCTTAACTAGAATACTTGAGGTGTTAAAGCTGCAGACTTGTAGAAGATTGAAGCTGCTGCTTTGTAGAAGAGACTTTGCTCTATCTATTTATATGTAAACAGAGCTCTTCAAAACTTTAAGTCCCTTGAATATTTCCATTTGATTTTGAAAACAGTTTAGGACTAAAAATTGAAAAAAAATAAGCATGGAAGCAAAATTTTTGAACTTCCAAACAAAATCTCGGTAGCCAAAAACGTCAACGGAGCATTTGGGGAAATCATTGCGTTCTAATGAAGGAAAGAAACACTGCTTGTTCAATTCGTTCCATTTTCAAAATACAAGCTTCAACGCGAAAAAGTGACGGAATTACTAGTTCCGGACTCCATAAAACCAGGATTTAGCCCTTTTAGAATAACAGATTTTGATTCCACTGACGAAGATTTGTAGATTCACTTTGGACCGAGATACGTTGGTTTAAATTTTAAAGCGGCCATTATTCTCGCCCGTTGAATGCAAATGACGTCAGATCCTAACAGCTAAAGTAATCATAAATCGTTTTTAGTATATCCAATGACATTAGTTATTTAAAAGTCTCCATTATAACATGTAGTGCAAAGGTGGTTTCTAGCGTTCCTGCGGAGTGGCGCTTAATTTTGAACCGTTACCCTAAACGCGTGCTGGTTTTCCGTAAACAGACGGCTGTTTTAACACAACTAGACGACTTGAGGGCTTGAGAACATGAAAACACTGTACAGGACGCTTTGCTGTACCGCTGTATTTGCATGAATAGTATTCCACTGCTTTAATATTGCTATGATTCACCATACAAACACATTGCTTTCAGCATTTGGAAGTGTTTTGCAACTAATGTTGCGACCATTTCCGTATTGTTTGTACCCGGACTTTCCGTGCAATAACTATGCTTCGTTTCTTGTATATTTCTAGGAGCAAAATAGAGCTTTTTCCGCCGGACGTCAGCTACAATATGCGTATCGGATAAGGTATTGATGCAAGAAGTATAGGAGATGGTTCTATGCATCGAAACAAACAATCAGAAAGAACCTACACAGCCCATATCAGCAACTCGGGGTGCAACACACGATTGTACGGGAGGTACACTCTCCGGTATTAACTGACTCACCATATTGATGAATAATGATGTTGCAGCAATCGCATGTAAACGAACACTTTCTGACCAGTGCCCATCCATCAGTGATAGGTAAATAGAAAACAGTTTTGAAAACGTATGGCTTTCTAGGATTGGGAACCCAGTTTGCCGACCCTGAAACATAAATCAATACAAATTTGAACACCTTCACAAAGTCTTTTCTCAAAAACGGCAATATTAAACTAATCAACAAAGATGCGAATAAGTTCCACTACATAACATTCTTAGATCTTTTACTATCCTCCGGTCAATGCATGCTTTATATTTGATCTAATACACCTTATCAGCTAGATAGGTTAGGGAATCAACATAAACCTAAATCATTGGACCAGTTGGCACAAAAATTATCGACTGCGAAAATGTCATATGTTACACTTCGGTAAACCTATACAGCTAACATTAGCAGGACCGTAAAAGTCCTGGTAAAGCATCAAACTAGGTCCTGAACAGTTGATATTGGACAGGTTACAAAAACGTGTTTTTTGCTTCATCCAAGCACTGACCATGAATGTATGTGCCAGACTCTGCGACACTTCAAGCACAATGAGAGCAACTTCTTGCGACATATTTAGCACCTGCAAAGTGCGAAAAGGCATCGAAAGTGAAACATTGCTAACACTGTAGGCGCGACCTGCAAAAGTCAAAAACTGAACCACAGGAGTGTACCGCTCTACAAGTGAGGAGAGCACATAAACACTGCCGTTTAAGAAAAAATTGCCTCAAAGTGAACAAAGGATTTCTTTTGTAAAGAACAGGTATGGAATTCAAGAACTATTGGATATCCACAAAGAGTACGTACTATATTTTACCTCGTCTTTTCTACTATAAACTATGTATCCTCTCTACTATAATGCTGAGCTATTTGCAAAACTCCGGACCGCAGGTGTCTGCGGTGGGAAACGAACGCGCTGTTGTCCTTTCCGGGGAGTAACGCGTTCACCACCACACCATACGGGTTCTTCGCTTCGCCTGTTTCTCAGCTAGTTCTATCGATCTCTGCCAACAGCAATCACCCGTCAACGGGATTGATCTGGGGAGCCCAAATCGGCATTGAAGCCAGTTAAGCCGAGGCTGTATTTATAATCACAACTTTAAGCCTTTTATTTACTGCCTATTCTCTTTTACGAACGGACCAAAGATCGATAGAACTATCTGAGAGACAGGCGATACGAAGAATCCGCATGGTGTGGTGGTGAACGCGTTACTCCCCGGAAAGGACAACAGCGCGTTCGTTTCCCACCGCAGACACCTGCGGTCCGGAGTTTTGTAAGTATCTCAGCATTATAGTAGTTATATTTCGCAAAATACCCTGCTGTTAAAAAGAAAAAGCAGTAAATAAAAAGGCTGAGATTATGCATCCTCTCTTATTAAGGAGTGATATTACAGTTGAGATACATCCTTTCACAAAAGAATGATCTGTGGACAGGCCAAATAAAAAACAGTAACGGAACAGTAACGTTTGCAATGAAGCTACCTTCTTCGGTACACATTTGTTCCATTCCACAATTAGCAGCTGAACAATGCGCCGGTAATGACCCTCTAAAAACTGTTTTATTGGACGAAAATCTGCTGTACACTACAGATGCACAATCTTCCATAATATTTAATAAGAATCTCCAGTGAAAATTCGAGACGTCTATAATGAACGACCAACAACAGTTAACCAGAAGATTATTATTAGTCCTTCTAAGGGCATTTAAGACATTCAGCCAAAGATTAGTGTGGGTTGAAAGGCACTTTCTCATATAACCTAAAGAAAAAGAAGTAGAAAACGACGTACGTGCTTTCTACTGGTACTCTGGATTCTTTTCCTCGATAACGGAAAGCTTCAAGAGCAATTTCCAGCAGTCGAAAAAGTTGAAGTAGCAAATTTTGTCCACTATCCACGCATAAAGCACCCAAGATAAATTTAGGCATACGATGAATCACATATAACACACCAACAAGAATATCTTGCACTTCTTCCTGTAAAGCAAAAAAAATCACTCCAAGAAGAAAAACTGGAATAGGAATGCTGAAAGAAAACACCTAATAACGACAACCTGACTAAACTTTTCGCATAGAACGAGATTCGATAATGCAAAAGCAGTCTTCTGAGAATCAGATAACTGAGGTGGTGACACACAGGACGTTGAGGTACCTTTAAAGAAGACATACATGTATGGTAAGAATGTGTAAAACATCTCACAACTGAATCTTTCACGCTGTACTAGCCCATCGAGTAACCCTCTATTTTAACATGGAAACCAGGTACGTTAACGAAAAACAGATCAGATCAGCGCATTACACACTGACTAGTTTTACATTTCCAATATGTAATCGGTTGAATGAAGACAGTTAGGTCAGATGGCGAAAAAGTGAAGAATATTGGGCTATAGCTTTCGTGATTCAGTGATATGACCGTTTATTACCGTATACATACAATTCAATAATGATTTCGATACTCTTATATACGGATCACTCGTCAAAAAACATGCGAGCTCTTGCAGACTCCTGGGCAAGTGTGGCACAGTGATCGGAGACGCCCTGCAATACATATGGGATCGATTCCCACGCACCTGGCCCGCCAAGCCTTCCGTCCTTCCGGAGTCCGAAAATTGGTACCAGACTTGTCTAGGAGGATAGCAGCACTGGCTCGATACATTGGTAGTGCACCGCAAGTCATTATAAAGACCAGATATGAATTCAGTCAACGTCCATCCAATGATGCTTAATGAAGTCGAGTGCATGGCGCATCTCTCAGGGATTGATCAACGCCGTGAAGTTTATCCTTTATCCTTTTACACACAGTAGACACATGTCTATTACTACTCTTTCTCCGGCAAAAGGCCACACAAAATACCACAATATTTTCTTATAGGAATGCAAGAGGAGAAACATACACCAGCTCACAATCGAGCATTAGTGTTTTATAACAAGTGGGACTAAGCAATGTAGACGGCGCTGTTTTTCGCTTCCTGAAAAAAAGGAGGGGAGAGTTAATTGTTTCCAAACATGTTTTCACAAAATATAGTTATAACAGCTTGGAACGCATGTGGAAAAGAAAGTAATTGAACTTATACATGAAATCATGACGAATATAGAAAACAGCTCCTGTCCAAGTATGTGTTTTTCCACATACCCCCCTCACTGAGAAAGTGTGAACCGCTACTAAACATGAGATCCACGATGTTATCGCTCATACATATCTGAAATAGGAAATGTAATGGGATAAATGGTATCAAGTAGATGTGTGTCACCATCGACCTCAATGAGTCCCTAAGACGTGACACTTTATCAATGGAGCTACTTACAACTGTACTATAGGATAATATGATATCATATCGTTCACCAAAAGCTAAATGGAGCTATCCGCAAAGACGATTCTTTCGTAAACTTCCAGAAATACATCTTCTCCATATTCTTGGAGTACCCTAGAGCGAAGAATACACTCAAAAAACTACACGAAACAAAAGAAGAGAGAAGGTTCTAACTTGAGCAGCTTAAAGTAAAACAACGCGTCAGCTTCTGTACTATGATGTAGAAAAATAGGTTGAGATTTCGTTTGTATAGAAAATTGCTGAATTACACTCTTTAACAAAAGTCAGAGGAATAAAATGCGCATTTAACAAATTAAAAATTGCAGCTTAAACAAACTGAAAATACATCTTTTTAACCAAATACGTGTTAAAAATAAAGTACTTAATGAACCGTCATATCACGAAAGAAATCAGAGTGGTCATATTATGAGAAGAGGACGACTTAAGATAACACTCGCGTGGAAACCCTACCCTACAGGAACAAACTCAACATTCTGAATACCATCAACAGTATAGACCCATTTGTAATTGATCTGTTTCTTATGCATGTCTGATTGTCACGGCTGGCCTGATATAGAAGTCTGATTAAGAGAAGAATGCAGGAGAAGTGAAATGGGTCTGCAAGAGCTCGCATAGTATTTCATGAGGAGTGTAAATAAAAGTATCAAAATCATTTTTAAAAAAGATGAAGGATAAAGCTCTCGGCGTTGATCAATCCCTTAGGGATGCGCCATGCATGCGGCTTCATTAGGTACTGTTCGAGGTGAGTGAATCATATCTGACCTTTATAATAACTCGCCGTGGCCTGCCGATGTATCGAGCCAGTGGCGCTATCCTCCCAGACAAGTCTGGTACCAATTTGCCGATCCCGGAGGGATGGAAGGCTTGGTAGGCCATGGACGCAGAGATCGATTCCACGTGTATTGCAGGGCACCTCGGATGATTGCGCTATATGCGTCCTTATCGAAATTATTAATGAACAAAAAAAATGAAGTTAAGCAAATTTAAAGTACAAAATTCTAAAACGCTGAATGCATTGATGGTGGTTTATTGAGAATAACACTGTCATGAACTACCGAACGGTGAGACATCGCCAGAACCAGTACCCAAGGAATCCTCTATTTCAGCAATATAGTCCATGGCGAAACGTACGATGGGTAAATAAATCACTGCTAATCGACGTTGAATATTCTGAATGGCACAGTCGTAAAAACTATGTAATAAGAAACAAAAGAAAGGAAAGTACACACACCATATCCGAATATCTTTTGTCATACGAATGTTTTGCAAGCAAATTCCTCAGCAATACGATAGCTCGATGACGAAAATCTCGGGGTTCCCTTACACAAACGTAGAGTTCCTGATATGAGAAAAGTAACCAATTTGAGATTCACCACTACAATACTGAATGTTCACACTACCTACGATATGCACTACTTTCATTGCATGTGCGGCTAAAACCAGTTCACCTTCTTAACTTGAAACAAAGACATCTCGGCCCATTGTGAAATTTAAAAATTTCAACAAAGGCTATTAGAACCAACTTATGATTGCCAGTAAGGCACCAACAGGATATAAGTAAGTATACCATAACAAAATGCTAGAGATCTGCAGCCAACCAATTTTTCTTTCCTTTTTCTTTCGGTTTGTCAAGGTCAGCACCTCAAAGAAACATTGGTGAAAAATATATGGCGGCGAAAGACCTTATAGAGATAGAAAAAAGGTAGCGATCAAAAGCATAAAAAATTGCAAATTGCGCAGCTCCAGGACCAGATGTCATTGCAGCCAACTTTCTCCTCTCGCAACTCACACGACAATTTATCTTCGAAAGGAAAAGATCTCAATAGAGGATTTTACACACTACCATCTTGTGTCAGTAAGGATGATGGAGGGCACCTGTGCAACTTTCGTCCAGCTTAATTACACATTTTTCTCTAAAAACTCTTCAAGCAAAGTCTCCTACTGTGCTTATTAAGGACTTGGGATGAAGCACAACCAGTGGAGGAAGCCGTATTCTTACAAGAATTCTGCTGCATGGACCACATCAAACCTCATTTAGAGTAGTAGAATTCTGTAGCGAACACCATTATGATGGGAATAGACCCGTTGCCATCCACATAGAAAAAGTTGTCCAACATGGGAATACCATTTCTCAACAGATGTTTTCTACCGCATTCCAGTGGTTATTAAAACGACTCAACTGAGAGAAGAACAGCATACTCGTTGACGACAAATTTTTGTCAAGTTTTCTTTTGTCAAAAAAGTTGTCATTCTTTCGAAAATCACAAGTGAAGCAGTGATGGTGTTAAAAGAGCTCAATCAAGTGAAAGGGAGGATAAGACTGCGCATAAATAGCATAAATTGGAAGAGAACCTAGTTGCTGAAACACTAACGATGTTATGCGAAGTAGAAAGAAAGGGACAGTTCTATGATTACAAAGAACAGATCCGATATGCACCTAGCGCTTTCAACGAATAGTGTAGAATACTTGGAGAGGGAACCATGAAGGAGGACAGCACGGAGTACGCTCGTGTCCTTCATAGAAACCACTGAACAACTGACGGCGAGGAAGCTCCACATTCGCAGCTTTGATTCAGCGGTACTCTAAGCTCTCAGCTTTGCTGATAAAATGTAAGTGAAAACTTCTTCAAAATGGAAGGAGGACATAGTAAACCCACCCCAGAATGAAAGAACGAACATCTCCTAAGTCGGCCATCTAATATGTGAGCGGACGTTTCTTTGGTTCGTATAAACAAGCTGTATAGACATGTGAAGGCCATTTATGAAACAAGAAATGATGCCAGCAGAGGTGAGCATGCCCGAAACATAGCATAACCATGGAGAACGATCGCGGTAAAATTAAATGAGTGGAAAATATGTTACTATCCGAACCAGACATGAATTCAGGCCGGTCAAATAATACAGTGTCATATAAGCAATATTTCTATTGTCATTTAAAAAGAAATGTTCTTCCCAAAGAGATTAAAAAGAAACAATATTTGCAGGAAAGTAAGATCTTACTTGATACTTAAACGGCCCATCCTCACTAGTTGTGCGGGCCCCAGCATAATCACCCATTTTTCGGAGATTTGATGGTTAGTCTGCCCCAAGTCGTCACCGCTACAGGCAGTCGCAGACCATGTGGATGAGAGGGAAATTTGCCACCATGTGACTTTGATACCAGGACGGTGGTGGATCCTGGTATTGGTTTACTCTTAGCTAAACTTCCTGATAAGAACGCCGGGCTCCTCAGCTTGAGTGACCCTGCCACGGGATGAATCCCTCCGTTTTACATCGCAACCCGACACCCAGGAACACCTCCCAGCCACGATGAGGCGGTAAACCGTTAGGAGGTGAGTAAGACTCTAGAAAAAATATCAAGACGATGGAAAAGGGCAAAGAGAGTAAGACGTCCCTCAAACCCTCACGTTCACCAAGCATAAAAAAATATCGTAAAACAAGAATCACCACAAATGTGTTAGAAATGCTTCACCAAACCTGAAACACCAGCCCTGAAGGAAAATGATGAGATGCGTATGTCGGATTAAGAGACCATTCTGCAGAGCAACCTAGATCTGAAACAACTGAGCAATATTTAATGAAAGATGAATTGCAGAGTCGTTTTCTTTTACCAAAACAACTCACGCTAAAGTAAAACCTTCAGCATTTTATATACAACGAAATTTCTCATGGTAATCTCAACCTTTTCTAGCAGAGTTTGCTCATGCTTTTAACCTATTCAGGAGCTAGACGGGCGAGTGTGGTACAGCGGTCGGAGGCGCCCTGCAATGCACATGGGATCGACTCCTGCGCATTAGGCACACCAAGCACTCCAACATCCCGTGATCAGCAAATTGGTACCAGACTTGTCTAGAAGGATAGCAGCACTGACTCAATACATCGGTAGGCCACCGCAAGTCATTTTGTGGACCAGATTTGCATTCAATCACCTCCAAACGATGCTTAGTGAAGTGAAATGCATAGCGCATCCCTCAGAGATTGATCAACGCCGAGAGTATTACGCTTATCCTTTTAAGAAGCTAGAGTGACTTCATCACTGTAGAAAATTAAGAATTTATCCGCAACAATTAACACATTTATAACGATACATATTGACTTAAACGCAACAACGGACTACAGACACAGATAATGCCCATTAATTTCAAATCAATTTCAATGCACACTTTTTTGGTGGTTTACTTGCCGCACAGCTTTTCACCTGCACATTTTCTATTCAATCGATGGACCCCTAACACAGATCTTATATGGAACTTACTTAGTTCTAAAGAAAGTTCTGCATTCCATGACTTAGAAAAAACCGTTTGTTGGATAAGTTTGTCCGTTCCACTTCAGGAACTGCTGTGGGAAAATGAGGCACTTCGATACTGCTACCGAGAGTACCAAAGTTGAGGATACTATTAAGACGTCTCCTGTTCACAATTATAAATATATTTTTCAAAAACGGAAACGCGCATTGAGTTCCATGCAGTTTATTGCCGCCGAAAAATGGGCACTGTCCAACAGCTCAGATGCCGTAACAGTTTCTCTTGAACCACACCAGAATTCGGCTTCACTGATATATATATATAAACCAACAGGTATAATCCAAGCTTGGTTACTTTTCAAGCCTCAATTTTCCCATTTCTCCATTAGTCAAATTAACGATCGACGAAGACATCTGTCAAGGTTTCCGACATTACTGAGCACAAACCATAACTCGATGCAAGCACGGTCCTTGGGCATTCCCAGTGATGAACAAGTCGCAAAAGTCATAGCACCACAATTTACGCCTGTCATTGCAATTACATGGAATCTTTTTATAGAGCTATCTAAACTTCAAAGCGATTTATTAATAATTGCTGAATATTTTGACGTGACTAGCGTCAGACAACGCATAGAACTCCTGTCTTCGGCCCTGAAAGCATTTACTTTCAGTGATCCCATTTTCGATGTAAATTTGTCAAACCAAGAATGAGCTGTTCGTGCTAACGAAATAATCATTAAATGAATGAGTAGTGTCCTAACCAGTACTTGTAGCAATACATCTATTTTTCAACTCACATAGGAATGTTTAAAAACGCATGTGAAGCTAGAAAAATCTTACAAACTGATGAAGGATAAATAAACAATAGAGCTATCGGCGTTGATCTATACCTGAGGGATTATCCATGCATTCGACTTCATCAAGCACCGTTGGAGGTGAGTGAATGCATATCTGGACTTTTACAATGATTCGCGGTAACCTACCGATATATCGAGCCAGTGCTACTATCCTCCCAGACAGGTCTGGTACCGATTTGCCGACCCTGGAGGGATGGAAGGCTTCGTGGGCCAGAGACGCAGGGATCGATTCTATGTGTGTATTGCAGGGTGTCTCCGACCACTGCGCCACACACGGACGAGAGATAGGAAAGAGACCTTCTGCAAAAGTACATTGTGCTTTATGTGTATAGCACAGTTGGATTTTCTTGTATATGGAATATTCCACAAAAGTGAAAAAGAAATGGAAAGGCGAGTGGGTAATCTCCGAGTTCCTGTTTCAGATGGGTTAAAAACTGCATTTCTTTCAAATACTATGTAGTCGAGTATTTAAGCACATTTCGCTCCAAAACTGCATATTTGATTTTGTATTCGAGCTAATAAAAGTCGCTTACATCCCTGTTTATCGTTAGAATTGGTGGAAGATTGGAATACGTAATTGAAGATACGAGGAAGAAAACGAGATCCAACCGCTAAACATGCCCATACTTTATTCAAGAAAATGAAAAGATGATATTGCAGCAACAATTACGCTAGAGGCGTTACTAATGCTGGCCTATAACTAATATAATTGACGAACCTGTTCCCTCAGAATAATCGGAGCTCATTGCACGATTGCTTAGTCGTTGGATCTGATTCCTTGGGTTAATTAGAACAGGAAGACACAAAGGTAACCAATGCTCATGCTGAGAAATTATTGAAAGAATATCCAGCTTATACTCTCTCATTACCTAGAAAATAGTCATAAGAAAAGATGAAATGAAAGAATGGAATGGCTGAAAAGGGGAACGACCTTAGATTCACAGTCGTCTAGACGTTGCAAAGTAGAATTAATCCATTTGAACACAACACCTCGATCAACAAAGCTCAGACAGCACTCAAAAAGGAAACAATTTTGGAAAATTTAAATTAGGTAAAATCAAGCACTTCAAACACACCATCACAAAATCATACACTATCTTTCGCTGAAACTGGTTGTTCTCTTGAATTAATGATGTTTCGAAGCTGCTATGCAAATGACAACACCTTTACTAGCTCTCTTCAGAAAACGAGACATTTTAAGTACAACGAAACGATTAAAGTCCTTCTTTGTCAAAGACTCAGAGTCCGAACCTGGTTTTTCAACAGCAACTGAATTTTCTGCTCGACAAATAGAGTACGAGAAACTTTGTTCTGCCAACATAGGAGTAAACATCATTGTTATTTTATCTTCAAAGTTGTTTACGATCAAAATTTTCAGAGAAATGAAAACGGGATTTCGATATTAAAACTCTTAACACAAACTTGGCAGCTACAAATACAACGACCCATTTGCATATATCATCGCATTTTGCTGTACGAAAATACGCCTGTCAAATCCATTCGAGTATCGAAATATGCAAAACAAGCGGAAAAATAACAATCCGTGGATTTCATGACACTTGATTTTCATACTTGTAGATTTTCTTCTAACGAGAACGAAACTCATTCTGAGCACGCTTCAGAGGAGCAAGCTTGCTAGGGTCGTATGAATCAGGTTGAGTTTCATATTTGCAGAAAAAGAAAAATTGTACCTAAATGCGGTCAGCAGATTCTAACGGCTTTTACCTCAACTAATAAGGCTCACTATAATCTTCGATATATTAACTTGAAGCTGAACGTGATCAACATTTTCGTACCATGTGAGTGTAAATCAATCCGCATTAAACTTGAACTAATAATGATATATCAAGATCACTGCTACTGGATATTTACTCCTTCAATCCTTTTCACTAAAACGAGAAGACTTAAATCACCACAGCTCCTCCCAACCAATGACCTATCAAGGGTTAGAGACTATTATAAAAACGAATAGTTCATAAACACCCTCCCAGTGGTTTAGCGCCTCATCGTGGCTGGGAAGTGTTCCTTATTGTCGGGCTGCGATGTAGAGCGGGAGAATTGTTCCCACAGTAGGGTCTGCCAAGCAAAGAAAACCGGCGTTTCCATCAGAAAGCCCAGCTAAGTGCAAACCAATGTCAGGATCCACCACTGTCCTGGTACTAAACTACTCGCATGGTCGCAAATCTCCCTCTGATCCACAAGGGCTGCGACTACCAGTGGTGGCGACGACCGACCTAAGGCAGACTTTGGTCTGGCTGACCTCGAAACTCTAGGGAACCACTATGGCTAAACCATCAGAACTCCAAAACAACGGAAATTCTGCTGGGGCCCGCACAACAAGTGAGGGCGGGCCATCCAAGCATTAGAAATACAGCTATAAACTTATACCAAAGATGCTAAACATCAAGACCCTCGTAAAACTATAAACACTAGTTGTACATCCCATACGGGGAAAAATCCTCTATAGAGTAGACAGACCTCGACCTTAAAAACTAAACTCTTAATTAGTTTCTCAGTTTATAACAACATATTAGTGTTAGCAAAAAGCAGAAAGTTACCCGTAAAAAGAAAGCGACACAAGTAATTCCTGTACGTGACTCCTTAGGAAGTTCTCTATGCTTAGAAATTAATAGTGAAATCAGAGAGGCTATGAAGCCTCCAATTTGATCCAGTATATCCAAAGGCAGCCGATCCTTTCTTGGACACTAAAATTGGTCTATAAGAAAACCGTTGGTGTACAAGTCAAAAAAGGTTTTCAATTAACCTTAAGAAGTGACCGATGGAAAATCGTCTGGGCAATACTCTTAGCAATCACATCGAGAAAAAACCACGATTGACGAACCAGCATAGCCAGCTTGTTGGCATCACTTTGAAGCGAATGAATCTAAACAGGAAACTGTCTTAAAATGCTACTATTTGTCAAAAAAGGATAACTCATTGAGTTGAACTAGCGAAACTTGACTAAACGGAGGAGAAATTCTTTCTCTACACAGGCCTTGGTCTTTATCTAAACTAACCATTGGATGGAGGAAGCGACAGAGTGCTGTGTGAGTGGGTTCTTCTCTTGAATGCATTGTAAGAAAGTGGTCCCGAACGAAAGCGCGAAGCAAACGTTTATGTCCCACTTCTTGACAGGTATCACAAATGGAAAGAAGCGTTCTGAAACCTCATCATGTGCCGCTAGCAAGAAGTAGCATTAAGATGTTAAGTGTTACACATTACTTTTTTTGTAATCCCCAAAAACCGCTAAATGTTCACTGCCTCACTCTGCTAAGATGAAGTATCCGAGCGTTTAACAGCGATATACAGCAGTAGGTTTAGTAGCAGATAAGTTCTCTCAATCTGGAGTAAGACATTATCGCACGCAAGCCTCACTAGGAGAAATCTTTGCTCGCGATCACCTATTCATTGGAAGAAACTTAGTCACCAAGGGCTAAGCTACGCCTGATTCACAAGTGCCGTCAACTAGTTGTGATGAATACCTTAACACGAATTATTTAAGACCCAAAAAAGCTTGAGCGGATCAAGTACCAGGCAAACAAGTAACCACTAAAAATTCTCAGTTCATTTTTCGTACCTTTTTCACAAAATAAATTTCTCCCTACCACATCCAGAACTGTGAATAAAAGTTCCACGTCATACTACCTCATAAAAGTTGGATACTAATCTATAATTATGTAAAACTCGCTGTCGATTCGATGCACAAGTTAATTTCGCCTCAGTGTCATTTAAAGATATAGTTCTTAGGGGGTACTTCTAAGCCCCCTATTAGAATTCACAATTTTCCAACCAACCCACTAATTGCTTTTAACCCTACTCAAGGAGATTTTAAAATAAAGTTTGTTACGTGGACACGCAAACCCTTGAAGGCACGTTTATTATAAGCTCACCTCATGGCAGAGATAGCAAGTTTCTCTGTTGGAGCAGATGTTATCAATTCAAACAGACGAGAGAGAACGACATGTAGAAACGGAACAATTTTCTTGATATCAACCATCGTCAAAGCCTTAAAAATCACTGTTATGGCATCTGAAACAACAAGACCAGTAATGTCTTAGCAGAGCTTTAAAAAATTTGTTCGAGATGGAATCCATAAACTTCCAGCTAGTTACTGCATTCTTCCGAGCTGTGGCTGATGAGCAAACATATCAAGCTGTTGCTTAACTACGGAGTGTTTTGTGTTGACAGGTTTAAGAACAAATAACAGACATAATATTAAGTATAGCAGCAACCTACATCAGAACAGGAAACTACACTCTTAACAACTGAGTGGTCATCATCGAAGGAATATGCAGAGACAAGTGGTGAACAAGATCTGACTGTGTAGTTACTTGGTGGAGGAGTCGACGATAGTATCTGAAATTACTAACGCATTTAAGAATATTTATCCAAGATTAGCTTAAAAAGACTATTTTCAAAAAACATGAAGATCGAAGGTGGTAAGGATATTAACCAATCGGTGAACTTAGTAATTTTATACTCACTTTGGAGACTGCCATATCAGTAACATGAGCGTCACAATCTAAGCGGTAACAGGCCTGCAACAACGTATGAAACAAAACGATTCCTAAGTGTTAGAAAGAATCAATAAGTATTCAATTTTCCAACCTGGAAGAAATCCTGCAGCCGTGGCTCCGATGTGAAAACAGAGGATACGAGTCGCAGTCGACATCGAAAAAGTGGGCGTTGGTCCACCCATTTAATATCCGAATTCTCCTAGGTATAGAAATAATACCGTATATAGAAACCATTTTTCACGATTAATCAAGAAAAACAAAGTACGACTTCAATGACCAAATGTGGTCTGAGGTACGGTAAATTAATAAACTAATGAATGCGTGAGAATTTTGTTCAAGAACAGCAACGAAAAGAAAAAGGGTAAACATAGAAAAACAATCTGCTTCTATTTCACCTCAAACTTTTTCACTCATTTAACTTTTAAGGTACACCTCACGAAATCGAACCAACCAGAACAAAAAGAAGTTTTGTTTCGAATGCACCAAGAATACCAGCATTTTAGAAAACACAGAAAGTTAATCCTTTGTTACTTCAAGAGCAATCCCCTTTAACAAATGGTCGTGTATTAAATGAAAAGGTGAACTCACTCAAGCGTACTACGAACGGGCTGTCCTTCACTTGCTAAAATTTCTAGAAGCGAACTACCCGGTATATCAGCACTAGATTCCGAAGTTTTGTGTATTCCTCGAGATAACTCCATTCCCAGTGATATTATGAGGTGGGATCAGAAGAAACTTTGATTTACGCTTGCTACTTGATATTCACGGGAACAAGTACGATATTGTTCCAATGGAAATGAGACTTTTAAACTACTAATGTAGAACTGTTAGGAAACAGAATCACACTATCGTGTTACTAGTACTAATGTCGTAAAGCCAAAAGCGAAATGTTCATACCCGAATTATTACGCAACATCAATGAACTTTAGGGAGTAGAATATAGAAAGCCTATCTCATCGTTATTATTAATAAAACTAGTATTTCCAAATCGAAATCTCACACCTTGAAATTTCCCTCTTGCAATGGTCGAACATGGAAATACGACTTTGGAAGATCAGTAGCAACAGGTAGTGCAAACTCCTGTTCATCACTTTCCATAACTAGTCTGTCTTTTGTCCACATCAAAGGAAGCCATGCGTGCCCAACCGGATTTTCTACTGACTGCAGTAAGTCGTAAAATATTTTTTACTCTTCTTCATTGAAGTTTTTAAGGAAAAAATTCACCTTTGACGACAGACCCAATAAAATAGAAGATAGAATAGGCAAACAACGCACGTTCGAAGCATACGAAGAAAACAAAACGACAAAAATAACGCGTAATCTAAATAAAGAGAAAACCCACCTCGCCCCACTTAGTATGTGACTGCCCACCTACAGAGACATGTGAAAATGAGAAGAGAAGATGATCGGAAGTACGAAGACATATAGGAAGTTTCATTTTTATCTCGTCACCTAAACAGGCCCTTCGGTGACCAATAATCACGCGAAGCCACCGTAACATCAATACAGAGTTCCTGATGTTGGTTTACTGACAATTGACAGTTACCTTTTATTATCAGAGTATATTAGAAGTTCTTCCCAACGGTTTACAGTCTCATAGTGGCTGGGAAGTGTTCCTGAGTGTCGGTCTACGATGTACAGCGGGGAGATTCATATTCCCGGCAGGTTCTCCCAGGCTGAGAGTGAGCCCGGCGTTTCCATCAGGAAGCACAGCTAAGGAGTAAACCAATACCAGGACCAATCACCGTCCTGGTTCCAAAGTCGCATGGCGGCAAATCTCTCTCTGATCCACGAGAACGACGACTGCCTGTGGTGGTGAGAACAAGAGGTAGACTATGGCCTTGCTGACCTCACGACTCAAAGGAACCACGGCGGCTAAATCAGCAAGACTCTAAACAGATGGAATTTATGCCGGAGCCCGCAGAACTACTGAAGACGGGCCGTCCACGTATCCAAGCATATATGTATATATGCGTAAATATGTGCATGTTTATATACTTAAACATTGCATATCTTTCTATACGTGTACTTAAACGGATTCATTAAGTACTCACTAAACTGAGGAAATTGCTGATGGTACTGGACTGCACACTTGCCACTTGAGACTAGTGGTCCAGATGGGTGGAGACGATTGAAAAAAACCTGTAAAACAATTCATTGAATACCACGGGAATTTCGTTGGGAGAAGTGTAGGAGAGAAGAATAAGTAACCGTGGCCGAGTAAGAATCTCCACGAACAAAACGTACAGTACAGAGTATATTGCGCGCTTTTGGAAACACTCGTTGATTATCATACCTAAAAATCAGAGAAAAATAAAAGTACGAAATGTATATCAAGCACATCAAGCGAGGACTCTTCGACGAAAGAAATATTTACTTAGCACTAGCTACAATGCGAGTAACGAAATATGTTATCTTACTTGAGGCTTAGCGGATAAATGTACAGTAAATTGACAAATTCGGAATACGGCTCTGCTGTAACATCTTCAAACGTCTGCAGCTCAAAAACCGGAGGCACAGCAGTGTCGCCTGGCAGCTCCAATGGAATAAGGGCATACATTGAAGAATTCACACGTGCTGCAAATGGTGACAGAAATACGTTTTTCAGAAGATACTTCCGCTGTAGTAGATTTTGCACTTCATTATTTCGAAACCTCGGTGTGACTAATCAATATGTATTCCTTCTTGATAAGCTTACACGATGATAAATATAATTATTTTCACTTCTGTTCAGCAAACACGACGTGCTATTCCACTTCCCCACTCACGTAAAGGCTGACGTTTCGGCGGATTTCGCCTTCCTCAGAGCCGCTTTCTATGAGTCTTCCACGGAGTATGTCGTGTGAAGACCAACCGCACAGAATTCACATGGAAGCGTAACGGCATTACGCTTCCATGTGCACTTCATTATATTTGTTCTAGAAATCTTCTACACGAACATATCCAGAAAGTAGTTGCGCCGAGCATTAACGAGGACATGATTCGTATTTGACTCACATGTGTGGTATCTGAGAATAATTCTGCATTGTCCCATGACAACTCCAATGAAAACTGCAAGTTGCTCTAATTTATGATAAAGTACTTGAGGACTTCACAGACTTATTAAAGGAAGTTTGAGCGAAAATTCTGTAATAAATTTGTTTGCAACTCAAATTCTTAAATACTTTAGCGCATAGGCGGCAGCCGTAGATACCAAAGACGCATACAAGAACACCATCGTGCCTTGCTGAAAGAAAATTCGATTTCAACCGCTCGACATTTAACGTTAAATTATTTGGTTGGTCAGCTAGGAACCGCGATGAAGAGAGGAGAAAACGAAGACGATTTTTGTTCTACAAAAAATCGGAATCTCACCGTGATAGAATTAAAAGACCTCTAAATTGTCGGAAAAAATTGGAAGATTCTAGTGGTTTATACATCAATTAATAAAGCTCATGCATGGATATGAGTCACACACATAGCAGATTCCTAGATTAACGTCTAACGCATTAACGTTTTATGAAGGATTTAGACTGTTTCTTATGAGACTACCAGACAGTACACTGTGTAGCTGAGATTACGAGTAAAGTTTAGCTAGATCCTACTTATGTTTAAAGTCGGAAGGTTAAATTATCTATTCA